GAAATCTCTTCATGCATCGTAGCCTTGAAAAGAATAAAACCAGGCTTCACAAATCGCGGAGGGAGCACCTGCAGAGCAGTTCAACAAAGGCAACACTTGCAAAGCGACATAAGCCTGCAAGAGACACTGCATACAGCCCTGGCATGCTGTAGAATTGTAAGGATGTCTGGGACAAAAATGTGTGTTTTACTTGAAATAGTGTTTTATGTATAAAAGGGCGATGTTTTTATATATAATATGTGTCTTCCTTTGGTTTTCAGTGCACTAGAACAGCCACAAAGTTGTAGACTGGGTTCCTTATACTGATTCAACGGCCAGTACACAGTTTTTAAATGAGCTGTGGCAAATATTTTGGGAAGGTGCATTGACACATTTGGTACAGCCATACTCACATAATGTAGAGCTATACAACGGTGCCATTTTTATTGCTCTAGCTTCACTTTAGCAAAAGTTACAGTTATTAGAAAATTTAAATGCGTTTTTCTCATTTCGATGTTTTTGTGCACCACACTAAACCTTAGGGGTTTTTCTTATATGTTACTGTTGATTGAGAATGACAAACTTGGTATCATTTTATTTGTAATAACATTACCTATGGGGTGATGCTATTTTGATTACTCTAGAAGCATACTGTTAATTACAATTATGAATAGTAATGAGCGAAAATTGAACGGAATATCCATTGTAAGTGCTGGTCTGTTTTCTTATCTATATAATGCCTAAAAATTAATAAAGTTAGCATCACCCCATACAGAAAGCCCTCGGCATTGGGGCTATGCATTTATTTTTTGGATCTGGCTTGATTAAGTTGCCAAAAAACCCCCAATGAAGTGCATAATTAATTAAAAACAGATGTTCATATCTTTTTATCCACTGAAGCTATTTCAAAAACAATTACATATTTGAAATCAGCATGAAAAACTGTCCAAGGTGGTGAGGTTTGGTCAAGATTGAGCCAAAAACAGAAAAAAATTTTAAAGACCCATGTCCCCCCTTAAGAGACTTGTCTCACCTGGCTGGGCGCGGTAGAATGTTTTCCATAATCGAGAGTTACTTGTCCAATCGAACATTCCTTGTCTGTGTAGGCAGTGTTTTCTCCCAAATATTTGTCCAGGCGACGGTAGTACCGCAAGGTGGTGTACTTAGTTGCACACTTTTTATTATCAAAATGAATTCCTTGCACCTGACCATCCCCCGCAATACACTTTTTATTATCAAAATGAATTCCTTGCACTTGTCCATCCCCCGAAATATGTTCCATTGTACATATGTCGACGACGTTCAGCTTGGCTGCAAGTCATGCAATTTGGCAATATGTGAGCAACAGGTTCAGCTGGGTCTAAACAAGGTCTCCAAATGGGCAGATGAAAACGGATTTCGACTTAACCCACAAAAAAGCACGTGTGTCTTGTTCTCTCGAAAGAGAGGCATGCACTCGGAACCTGACATTCGACTGAACGGGCAACGTCTGTCTGTCAAAGCCGAGCATAAATTCTTGGGCTTAATCTTGGACAAGTTGACCTTCGTACCACACATTAAGTATTTAAAAACAAAATGTTTAAAAATCATGAATGTTATAAAAGTGTAGTCACGTACTACATGGGGTAGTGATGGGCAATGTCTCATGAACCTGTATAGAAGCCTCATTCACACCTGCTTAGATTAAGGGGCCGTTGTTTATCAGTCTGCGACTCAAAGTGCTTTGAAGATGCTGGATCCCGTGCACCATTTGGGCATCCGCCTTTCTACGGGGGCTTTTCGCACCAGCCCTGTAGAAAGCCTTTACGTTGATTCAAATGAATGGTCGCTTCATCTACCAAGAACTTAGATGTTCTTTGTATATTTTCTTAAGGTGAAATCAGACAAGAAGAACCCCTCATACTCTAATATAATTAATTTGTCGAGCTCCATTCTGTTTCAAAACAGGCCTTCGATGAGGCAGCCCTTCTCAGTTTGCCTGAAGGGTCTAGCTGAGGAAACTGGAGTGTCACTTGAACACACTTTAATGGCTCCTGTAGCATACCCGCCACCGTGGCAGTGGCAGATAATAGGCTGCGATGTGTCTTTCCTAGAAGTTACAAAACATGCACCTATTGCCCATATCCGAACATACTTCCTGGAACTTCAACACAAATACACACGTCCTGAGTTCTTTACAGATGCCTCCAAGTCTAATTCCTCTGTGTCCTACGCTGCTGTCGGCTCATCCTTTTCAGATGCTGGCCCTCTACATCCAGGCACAAGTATCATCACAGCGGAAGCTTGTGCGATACTTGTGGCGGCTAAACACATCAAACAATCACAAATACAAAAAGCACTAATTTGTACGGACTCCCTTAGTGTGGTAATGGCTCTGCACAATCTTAAAAAACAAAAAAAAAAAAACCCTGTCCTCGTCTCACTTTACTCTATTTTATGCACACTCTACACACTCAAACAACATGTTGTAGTGTGCTGGGTGCCAGGACACCGTGAGATCCAAGGCAACGTGATGGCGGATCAGCTTGCTGCATCCGTCCACAAAAGCACTGCCACTACACCCATATCAATCTTGGCCCCTGATCTTAAGGTGTCTCTCAAACGAAAGCTCAGGGGCTACTGGCAGAGCATGTGGGATAGACACACACAAAACAAACTACACATTATTAAGCCACACCTTGGCCATTGGCCACCAGTATCAAAATCACGTCATACAGAGGTAATACTAACGAGGCTCAGGATAGGACACACATACACGACACTTTGTCCGGTGGCGATCCACCATTGTGTGACAGATGTTGTGAAGTATTAACAGTTCTCCACATTGTAATTCATTGCAAACAGTTAGAAACTCTAAGAAAACAACACTTTCCATTACCCTACCGACAACATATACCTTTACACCCTGCAATGTTCGTCGCTAGGGAACCACTTTTTAGTCATAAATCATTGTTAGCGTTTTTAAAAGAAATTCGTAGTTTTCATATCATATACCCGGGCATTCTTTAGCATGACCTCTCCAGAGAGGTTTTCGCTGCGGTGGCTACACAACAAAGCACTTGCCTTTAGGCCCTTGGACGCAAGGGTATGAACGAGTGAGGCACTTGTGCTAATGCCATACATGTCCACCATCATTTTTCATTATCACCAACTTTTGTCATCTATTCACACCACGCACACCTTTCACGGCATGGTCATGATTTTATTACTTGTATGTTTTTACCCGCCTTACCGCGAGGAATTTTATGGCCCTTATACAGCCGCTTATCACAATCATTTTCCATATCTTAATAAGATGAACTGGTGCTCTTTGGCCGTGAAATTACCCTTGCGCCATAAAACATTAAACATCATCATACATTTACCATTGTCAGCAGATATTCTCTGATGCGACTTCAATATTTTCAAAAAATCGAGGAACCTAGCCTTCAAAGAAACGTACACAAGAAGAGAAGTATGAACAACCTCACATGCTGGAACCACGCTCGCTTTCCCAGCTTGTGTAGTCATCAATACTTCTCTTCTTCCCACTCCGGCGATTGTTCCGGCGAGGCCAACTCTGGCGATTTTTCGAGGTCAGTAGATCTCAATGAAATTTACCGGGTACGTTCATTTGCACATTTGCGCCATTCATGCTAAATTGCAGGCTTGAGAGTTTCGCAGATTCTTTTCAAAAGAAATTTTATAGCTTGCCTCGAAACGGTCACCTCACTTGCAAGAATTAATGGCAACATTGTGTGTGTGACGTTGAGTTTTGCCAGGCGAAAGTGACGAACTGATGTGCCACTGCAGCATCTGCTTGTCTGCTATGGATTGTGTAGGTTTGGCCTGCGCTTTCTTGGTTAGATGTGCGATTTCCTTTTTCGTGCTGGTGGGTGTGCGATAGGTGCCAAGTAATATTGCATTGTGAGCCACACAAGATTCGCCATATAATCACCATAACAGTGTAAGCGTTTTAGCCAATCAACATGGACAGCGTGGGCAGGTAGTGCCATCCGGCGGGCATTGTGCGCAATCAGGCAGGTTCGGACAAATGATTATGTCACACATAGGAGCACACTCAGTGGGGTTTCGATGTTGGTATTGGGGTTTCTCAATAATTAAGAATTATTTTCAAATTTGTTGAGCATTTCAGCTATCGGGCACGTGACAAGATTGTCTCGGGAACATAAAAGCACCATTATCCTGACATGGTAAAAAAAAAATCGCCGGAGGTGGCTTTTAAAGGTTAGGTTGCTCGATTTTCTAAGCTACGTACCAACAGGCCTAACACAACAGTCTTCTATGACTTCCGTATGTTTGGACCACTGAAAAACACTCTGGGCTGCTAGAAGTTTTGTTCAAAGAAGAGGTACGCTGTGCAGAGCTTGAGTAGTTGTGTGCATTCCCAAATGCACTCTTTTTCTGTTGAAATACAGACCTTTTGTATGTGCCGGCAAATAAGTGCAAAGAAAAATGTGACAAAGAGTAATGCAGCTTTGTGCTGTTCTGATGGGATTCTTGGGAATAAGGAGAAAAAAAGATAATGTTGTGTTGGTGAGAGCAACATTCCTAAGAAATCTGCGAGGCTGCTTGCTGTTTTTAACTTCATGTAGAAACTCATAAACATAGGCATACAAAAAAGGACAGAAGTTCAGTTCTAGTAGAAACAGCCTCAGTGGAGAGTACAACTGGCTGATGTGGGATATTTGTTTAGAAAGAGTGTTAAAAATTTATTGTGCTGGTGGGAAAAAAATGTTTTTAAATACTGTACATTTATTCAAATATTGTTTTGTATTTACGGTATACATACCTGAAAAAGTGGTCTTATCTCAATGTCCAATAAACCATTAACTTCATGATAAGCGTAAATGGTTTTAACTGGGAAGCTAAAAGCACTAAGACAATACGAACAATGAAATACATGTATGGCAATACGCTGCACTACTCGTGTGCTATATCCTTGTCCTTTCGACTTTCTTCCATATCTCTTAGAGATATGTGCAAGTTCAATAAACTTCACTTTTTTTATTTTCTTCCAGAATGCGAGGCCAAGACAGGGGTCGCCTGCCAGGTCACAACGTTAACTGCGAGTGTAGTCCTGTAAGTTACAGTGAATGCAGCTTTACTTGAATGCTCAGAAGTTGCTACTGTTTGCCTTACCTCTTTTTGTGAATGGAACATTAGTGTAGTATAAAAAAAAGGCAGGCTTCATCATGCATCCGCAGTCAGATGCAAAAATAAAGACAATTTTTTCGCATTATGGTTTTTCAAAGGATTAACGTAAATCTTAATGTAGCACTGGAACTGTGGCATGTATTGGCTTTTTTTTTTCCACAAAAATATATGGGTAATTGTGGGTTGTTTGCAATGTTCCTATGTCAAAGCATTGGAAAACCACAGCATGTATGGTATGACTGCCAGCTGATAATTAGGGCTTAAAGGGGGCCACCAAAAAGTCTAATTTCAAATTCCAAGAAGATGCTTGACATTCTTCTACAAGTATAACATTGAAAAGAGTTAGTTCACCCCATTTTTTGGAATAATGTAAATTTCGAGCAACTATTGCAAGGTGTATGGCGGTCTATGAGCAAAGATTTTTCAGCATAGTACCAAGCATGTTGCTTTATCCCATTATGCTATAAGTGGTGTTGCCCATCAGTGTATCCAGTGCTAGTTACGAAAAAGAAAATATTTTAAACGGGAAAGTACCTTTGACAGTGTTCGTGCAGTAACTTAGCTCAAGTTCGTCATGGCCTGAACCCTTTCACAACCGTTGACGAGTGTACGCTCAAACATTGATATAACCTACCCCTGAATATAAGGAAATATTGGTTATAAAGAAGTAAATGAAAAACAGTCTTGTAATAAATATAGTGTTTAGAATATACCGTTATAAGCAAAATTTTCGATATAACGAACTTCTTTTCGTGCAAGATGCAACTTTGACCTATGAGACTGTGTTCATCATCAAGAAAAATTGGTCCCACGCAAAACTACTGATGGCTATATTCACTGCAGTTGTGTTTTTCACTGCGAGATAGTGCCACTTGTTCATGTTTTTTTTTTTTCCATTAAGAGTTCGTTCTTCCTCTTTCTCCTGTGTCTTGCCTTTCATTACATTGCCACCTCTTTACTGCACATCTGGTATCTTTGTACGCAATTCAGTCATTTTGGCTTTTTTTTTCTTTGGTTTGTCTGTGGCCACTTATTTTTAGTCTGTGGCCACTGTGGCCATTTATCTGTCTGTGGCCACTGTGGCCACTTATCTGTGTGACCACTGTGGCCACTTATAACAGTCTGTGGCCACTTACTTTTAGCTAAGCTTTTTTGTCTACACTATCTTTTTCCTTCATTCATCACCATGTCAGTTGTCAGAGCCACACAGGCAATGCTCTATCTGGATTATCAACAAAATCAGTCAGCTTAAAATGGTGGATGTGGCGAGTGGCACCGAGTTAAGCAGAAGGCTACAAATTAAGTAGTCAGTAATATGCAGCGTAATTTTATCCCTGGCACCTTGGTATTATTGCCGGATGAAGGCACACTTTTTCACAATGGTCGCCATCTGCCACTTCCCTCTCTACCCTCATGTATTCTGTTGGTGTAAAAGCAGTATCACTTTTGAAATTTCATTGTATGTGTAATTTAATATTATATGTAGTGAGTGCATTCATCACATCAACATATGTTTACATTATAGAGTGCAGCTAATACTGCGACCTAACTTATTTTCTTGTTTATAACCTAAACACCCTTAACAATGATTCGCGGGAACAATCTCCTAAAAGTTATCTCCACTTATTGCCACGAAGCAAATGTCATTTTGTAGCTGTGAAGTATTACTGTGAAGTAGCCTTTGTAGATCCCCCGCCAAGGTGGTCTAGTGGCTAAGGTGCTCGGCTGCTGACACGCAGATCGTAGGATTGAATCCCGGCTGTGGCGGCTGCATTTTTGATGGAGGTGAAAATGCTGTTGGCTCACGTGCTCAGCTTTGGGTGCAGGGTAAAGAACCCCAAGGTGGTTGAAATTTCTGGAGCTCTCCACTACGGCGTCTCTCATAATCATATGATCATTTTGGGACGTTAAACCCCACATATCAATCAGTCAATTAATCAACCTTTGCAGACCATAATTTGCATATTTAGTTGAACTTTACCACCAAGTTTGTTTTTTTTTTTTTTTCATTTTTGTGCAGGTTATGCACAGGAAAGTACCATGAAAACATTAGTTTATGCAATACAAAGATTAGTTAATGCAGATTACTATTCACACTTATTCCATTCACCTAATGAAAAATCATTCCTTTCACTTTATACAGGAAGTTGCCCTCAAGATTCAAGTGCTAAGATTGGTGCACAGCTTTTGTGAACATGCAGAGTGAGTTTACTTTGCAATTCATTCATGCCTGTTTAGTTTTTTAACTGCGGTGTGACATCAGAATTGGGCTATGCGATGTCTGTGCAACTTATAAAAGAGAAGGTCCTGTTCTGAGTAGTTGTATCTCTGTGTGGCCACATGGTTTTGAAAAACAGTTAGAAATGTGGGGAAAATTTATTCGCCTTCCATTGTCTTGTGAACATGTTTAAAACACTTGGGCATATTTAAATATCAGTTATTTGAGGAGTTTATTCATGCAGCTACATGGCAAAGGTATTTGGGAAATAAAATGATGATGAATGATGGAGGAAATTTTCAAATGGCTTAACAGCATGTCCGCGATGCTTGGCATGCAATTGCCTTCCAACAAATTCAAACGTAATGGAACTGATTCTTCTTATCCACTGATGTATGTGCTGAAACTCTTCACGTGATTTGTATAAAGAATTGTCAAGTTTATGAACTCCTTTCTAGTTGCATATTCAAAGGTGATCTTTTGCTCCTAATACCATTTTTTCTATTTTTGCAAAAATGCAAGCATCTCCTTTGTTTCTTTATGCACCGATGTTTACCTGCATCTAAGAATATTTTGTACAGAATAGAGTGCTGCAGTCAAATCTTGATTTAACAGAGTGTGTGTAACAAGCTACTTTTTTCCCAGTCCTGACTTTAAAAACCAATAATGTGCATATCATTCCTTCACGTGTTGTAATTCTGAAATGTAATTGTGCACTGAAGTTTCAAGATATAGTCAAGCCCTTTTGTAAAAAACCCTGATGTAAGAGACAAATGGGTATAAAAGACAACAGTGTGCATACGTTGAAACCGGTGTTGATAAGGAAATGCATACCTGGTACCCTGGTTATAAGAGACACCTATAGCACGTAGAAAACATTGTGAAATGCCTGCTTGTAAGCATCACTGTTTGTGTCCTATTTGTCGCACATGCTATATTTATTCGATTGTAACGCCACGGATGACTCTTCATTGCATTCATGAAGAAAAATATAAAACAAAAATAAAATAACTCTGTGCATCGTTGCAGTTTTTAGGCAAATACAGTTGAACCCCGCTACAATGAAACTGACAGGACGCGTAAAAAGTTTCGTTAAAGCGAAAATTTCCTTGCAGTGAAACCAAAAAAATATAGCTGATCTGAGCTAGCAAAACAAAGGAAGGTTTATTCTCTAAATCTAAATAATGTCCGCCGCTTCCTATTCTTTCCCAGCAGCGTCACAATGTCATTCTCACCCATGCATAGCGAGGCCATTGTTAAAAGCACTCTGAAACAACCCCTAAAACCGCCTTCGTGAACAAATCATAGTTGCATTAACACTCTAAAGCCAGCACCTGTCTGCCGTCAAAAGTATCCGACAACGCCGAGATGGAAGTAGGGTATCGTGGAGCGGCGACTTTTGCATTATTCTATGCCATTCTTATCATCTATCTCTCGCGGCTAGCTGATTTTGTTGATAATGCAGACGAACAGCTGCTATGATTGATTATCACACTGGCCAAGTGCGAACATAATGATAAGCATCCGAATCGGAAAAAGCATCGTTCCACGGTTTCACCCAGCAGCTGCGTGAAGAAAATCATTAACTGAGCGATTGAGCTTCAGCTTCGGATCATCCGCGGCTCAAAAGCAAGCCAGCAGCAAAAGCAGGGCCAGGGCAGTCTCATTGCCATCGCTACCCAGCAATGACGGCACCCAAGCCTGCTGAAACAACATTTATATATACTCGTTGTGCTGAACAGCGGCGGTATAGCGGCGGTTTATGGTGGTGGGAACACCTGTTTTAGACCTCGTTGACGCATTTTCAAGCTCTGAAAGTGCATCGAAGTTTTAAAGATTGGGTTTACTGCATAACAAGTATCTGAGCCTGGAATTGCATCGTAAAATTTCGTTAAAGTGGGACAATCAAAGAAAAAGTGTTCGGTGTGGAGACAAATCTATGCATTGACTCCTATGGACTGCTGACGGGGAATCGTGAATTTTTCATTGTAGCGGAAATTTCGTTGAAGTGGCGCTCGTTGTAGGGGAGTTCGAATGTAGATTTTTTGGTATTCGATTGTAACTTGAGGGTGGGGAAAATTGCAAAAAAGTAACTTTCTGTACATTCAAGTAAATCGGTATCAGAACTTAAGTTATTTAAATAATTGCCTTGTCACTGTGAACCAGCAAAAGCAACGCCACTCACCACAATGAATCTCTGCTTGCAACCACACTACCACTGTATCAAGTCGTGGCAATCAGTTAATGATCTAAGAACCACTCAAGAGGGCAACTTGTTATGCAGAGTTCCAGTCCACTCCGCTGGTTTCTGCAGACCAGCTTTGGCTGCTCCATGGCATGGTTTTCCTTGAAACGCGCTCTTGATTTCACATTCAAACTACAACTCTTGCCCTTACTTTGTCATTACACTTGCTCCCCCCTCCCCCCCCCCCAAAAAAAAGCTTAAAAAATTGCACTGACTCTACCATCAAAATGCATTCAGTGTGCACTGTTTTCTGAATGCCCAATGGCTTGCTGACCTGAAGGTCGTGCGATCATATCTAAGCGGCAGCAGCTTCATTAAATATAATCATATACATGTGAAAGGGGTACTGACACAAAATTTCGCGTCTTAAATAGCTTGCGGGATCTATTCCTGTGATCATGTGTATATTATCTGCAAAATATCAACAGGGAATATAGCCTGGAATGTATTTTAAATCTATTTTGAACTTTGCGTGAGTGATCAACTCCCTAGCGCTATCGACACCCTCAAAGGTGACCCTCTGTGAACCGTGCAGTTCCCTTAACTCTTTCGTTACCGCGCGAGAATGATTGTTTTTTATGTCTCGGGAAGATCATTTTTGCCAGTTTGAAAAGTACAATAGCACACATTGTAGCATACCAAACTTTGCAGCATGAAGTGCTCTTTCCAAAAAATATATGTTGTAGAGGAACAAAAATATGTTAGAATAAATAAAAATGTGAAAAGTGTAAAATTTTTTGTCATGAGCTGGTAAACAGTGGAATAATAAGCACTATGCAAAAATATTCAAAACAAAGAAAATTCAGAATATACATTTTGTACACAAATGACCCAGGAACAGTATAAAAATTACAAATGTTGTACAAAATCTTTCTCTTCACATAGACAAAGAAAATCAGAACCGAGGTGCTGCTTCATTGCTCATGCCATGCGGTGAAGCGTTGCATGGCTCTTCATGAGACACAAGTGTACTCGTACACTCTTCTCAGTAAACGAAGAAAGTGCTTAACAGCGCAAACGACAGGAGGGGATAGAAGAGACGAAAACAGAGCACTGATCAGTGCTCTGTTTTCGTGTCTTCTATACCCTCCTGTCGTTTGTGCTTATCAGCGCTCTGTTCTCGTCTCCTCTATCCCCTCCTGTCGTTTGCGCTGTTGAGCACTTTTTTCGTCTATTATGCAGCACCAACCAGCCCAATCAAGCACCTTGTTAAAGTTCATCTTCTCAGTAAATTTTTGTTGCCTTGCATTAAGAGTCTCCAGGTATCTCCAGGTACAACATACAATCATACCCCACTACAACGAAACTGACGGGATGTGGAAAAAATTTTGTTAAAGCGAAAATTTTGTTGCAGTGAAATCGAAAAATTATATCTGATCTAAGCTAGCAAAAGAAAAGAAGGTTGATTCTCAAAATTCAAAAAATGTCCGCTGCTTCCCATTATTTTTCAGCAGTGTCACAACGTGATTCACCCATGCATAGTGAGGCCGTCGTGAAAAGCACACTAAAACAACTCCTGACACCATTTTCGTGAACGAACCAAACAGTTGCATTAACACCAGCAGCTGTCCGCCGTAAAAAGTATCCAACGATGCCGAGATGGAGGCAGGGTATCGTGGAGCGACGAAGTTTGCATTATTCTATGCCATTCTTATCATTCATCACTCGCGGCTAGCTGATTTTGTTGATAATGTGGACAAACAGTCACTCTGATTAGTAATCGTACTGGCCAAGCGCAAACATAATGATATACACCGGAATCGAAAAAGGCATCGTGCCACGGTTGCACCCAGCAGCTGCAAGAAAGAAACTATGAATCGAGCGACCGAGCTTCAGCTTCGGATCATCTGCGGCTCAAAAACAAGCCAGTGGCAAAAAAAAAAAACAAAAAAAAAAACAGGGCAGTCTCATTGCCATCGCTATTGAGCAGTAGCGGGCCCATGCTTGCTGAACAGCGGCGGTATAGCGGCAATTTCTGGTGATGCAAACACGTGTTTTAGATTCAATGACACATTTTAAGGCTCTCAAAATGCATAGAAATCTTTTAAAGATTGGGTTTAGTGCATAGCAATAAGTATCTGAGCCTGGAATCGCATCGTAAAAATTTTGTTGAAGCGGGACGATTGAAGAAAAAGTGTTCATTGTGGCAACAATATTTATGCATTGACTCCTATAGACTGTTAACGGGGAATCATGAATTTTTCGTTGTAGCGGAAATTTCGTTGAAGCGGTGTTCGTTGTAGTGGAGTTTGACTGTATTTCTCTTTTTGTATATGTTTCGAGTCTGGCCCGCTTAAGAGCACAATAGGAAACTCGTTCGAAGTGCTATGTATTCTAAGCTATTTGATTGAGGGCTGAAAATCATAGCTTTATTTATTTGCTACACATTTTTTTTCGCTTCTCAGTTTTCATGAGGTTACTGTATAACAGGTATTGAGGCTGTGTGCAACATGTCAAATAGCTAATGATAGAAACACTGAATACTCAACGAGCAACATTGTTGTGCCCTGGACTGTACATCGAGCAATATAAAACAAAAGAAAGAACTGAAATAGATGCAGTGGTTGCTGAGAAATGAGCAAAACAAGCAAAGCAGGCATCAAAAAAGTTGTTTTAAGAAGACAGCTTTTTTAAGTTGTACCAACTATATTCCATCATCAAAAGGCACAAGAGTCATAATCTTTCGGGTCCTTTGCAATGTACAGTTTTTTTAATGCATGTCTTGAATGCTTGAATGTT